CACCCATCCGCGGGAGGGAAGGGTAGCGGCGCGCCCCCGGGAAAGAGAGGACCAGATGGTGGCTCCTCCTCGGGTGGTCATCAACCCCAGCAGCGGGTTAAGCATGTTTGACGCTTACCTCTGTGACAGAAAGGGCGCCATACACAGAATAGTTCAGCCGGCACTAAGTCCGGGCTTCTACTCAAATGTATTCGTAGTACCAAAATCTACAGGCGACTGGCATCCGGTTCTGGACCTAAACAGACTAAACCAGTATATGCTTCTCGATCGGTTCCGCATGGAGACACCATCCAGTGTCCTACTCTCCATCCACTGGCTCGACTGGCTAGCCTCTTATGCGACGCTTACCTGCACATACCGATGCTACCAGCGAGTTGCCCTCTCCTTCGATTCGCCCATCTGGGCCAAGTATTCGAATTTCGGGTGCTCCCCTTCGGGTTATCCACAGCGCCCTACGTGTTCACCAGAGTGATGAATCAGGTAGTACTGCTGCTCCACCAAATGTCGGTACACGTCAATCCGTACCTAGACGACTGGTTGATACACAACCCAGACAAGGGGTTATTAGCCAGACATGTAAGGCTTACACAGGATTTACTTCACCAGTTGGGCTTTTTAGTAAATCACAAAAAGTCCCATCCCGACCCGACTCAACAGTTGGTGTTTCTGGGCATGGAGTTCCACACCGAAGTAGGCCTGGTTCGCCCATCTTAAGCGTGTTGCCTAGCGCTAAGCAACCTAGCAGAACGCCAAGTCAGCGTTCCTTCAGTGTCTCTCCGAGAACTAATGCGGCTCATCGGAATGATGACCTCCGTTCGAACGGTAGTTCCCCAGGCCACACTACGCAGCTGCCCGGTCCAACGCTTGTTATTGGAACACCGAGCTCACCTACGGGAACTAAACAGGCGACTATTGATCCCGGACCAAGTAAAGGAAACCCTGTACCGGAGGTCGTCACTGACCAACCTCAGACAAGGGGTCCCCTTGGACCTACTAGTCACAACTATGACTCTGGTAACAGACGCCTCCCTCCAAGGGTGGGGAGCGCATCTATTGGACAAACAAGCCCAAGGAATATGGCCCCCGCAGTGGGTTCGAGACCACCATATCAACTGGCTCGAGCTGAAAGCAGTGCACCTGCCACTTTCACGCTTTCTGCCCGAAATTCGAGACCACAGAGTCCTGCTCCACACAGACAACACAGCGGTGGTCTTCTACATCAACAAGGAGGGGGGGACGCGTTCCCCATCATTGTTGGCCCTAGCAAAGCAAATTCTCCTTTGGTGCCTGGAATACAATGTGGAGCTAACCGCACACCACCTTCCAGGGGTGAGAAACGGTCTGGCAGACGCCGTTTCAAGGTGCCTTCGTCTCCAGAACACTGAGTGCAGATCCCCCAGTGGCTTGCCTCCAGGCTGTTTCGGCTGTGGGACGGTCCAAAGATAGACCTGTTCGCCGCATCCCAGA